TGTGTGGAGGGCTGGGGTTATGATAGCATGGTGGTCACGCAAGGCTGTCCACTCCGGAGGGCACTTTCCAGCCCCTCCGGCAGGCCCTGCTCTGCCACGTGCTCTTCCTGCTTCCGACTGTCTGTTGATGAGTCCTGTTCATCCCTGGAGCCGACACCTGGCCCCGTGCCTGTCCCCAATCTTGGGTGGTTTTGCTTTATTCCTTTCTTTCATAGAGATTTCATCTAATGGCTTACTGGTATTTTATAAACATGAGCTCTAGTTTAGTTATCGTTTCTATAGATTTGATGTTTAGCTTTATTTTATTTTCTAGCATCAGTTTGTAATTTTATCTGTTAATCTGTTTCCCCTGTTTTCTCAGCTTATTTATTTATTTAAGAGACAGAGACAGAAAGCCCCCCAGATGCCTTCAACAGCTGGGACTGGGCCAGGTTAAACTGGGAACCAGGAGCTGAGCCCAGACCCCCGTGGGCGGCTGGAACCCCGTTACGTGAGCTATCCCAGACCCCCCGTGGGCGGCTGGAACCCCGTTACGTGAGCTATCCCAGACCCCCCGTGGGCGGCTGGAACCCCGTTACGTGAGCTGAACCCAGACCCTCCGTGGGCGGCTGGAACCCCGTTACGTGAGCTGAACCCAGACCCCCCGTGGGCGGCTGGAACCCCGTTACGTGAGCTGAACCCAGACCCCCTGTGGGCGGCTGGAACCCCGTTACGGGAGCTGTCACTGCTGCCTCCCGGGGTCTGCATGAGGAGTTGGAATCAGGAGCCGGAGCCAGGTATTGAACCCAGGCACCCCGGTGTGGGCTGAGGTGTCTTAGCTGCTGAGCCAAACGCCCACCCTGTAGCTTCTTGAGCGGAATGCTTAGGTCATTTATATTAGTTCTTACCTGCTTTATTATAACCAAGTTTAAAACCGTGCAGTTTTGCCTTATTGCACAGTTTACCATACTATGTTCAAATTGTTTTGTGATTTGCAAATAGTCCACATTCTTAGCCTTTATTACCGCTTTGACCCCAGAATTATTGGACTATTAAAATATTTCCAAAGAATTTGATTTTTTTTAGGGTTATCAGCGTTATTCTTACACTTTTTTTTTTTTAGTGCCACAAGTTTTTTGGCAGTGTTTGTTCCATGCCAGGAGACAGGTCAGGTGCAGGGCATAGTGAACTCCCTGGCCGCTGTCCTGGGGAGTTCAGCCGCTTGCCACTGTGTGAGACACTGATGCAGCCAGGGTCGGTTACGGTCGTAATGAATGCAGTCAGCCCCCCACTCCCCCATCTGTGGGTGCCGTGCCTACAGGTTCCACAGTCGTGGACTGAAAATACTCTTTTAAGGTGCCTCTGAGCCAAGCAAGTACCGGCTTCGTTTCTTGCCATTTATTCCCTAAGCAGCGTGGTATAAGCAGCTATTGTAGTGTTTACATTGTGTTAGGTGGTGCAGGTGATCTAGAGGTGATTCAGGTATGCAGGAGGGTACGCGTGGTTCTGTGCAGATGCTACGTCCTTGTACGCACGGGATGGAGTGCCTGTGGATTCGGGTACCCCAGGGGTTCCCGCACGCAGCCCCCTCAGACACTGAGGGCTGACTGAACGGTGGAAGGGAATCTCAGGCCGCACTTTGGCAGGAGAGCTGGCACTTGGACTTGGTGAACTTTTCCTTCGTCTTACTTCCTTACCTCTTCCCTGAGCGTGAATGGTTTTTAGTATCTGTTTGGCTCCAGGTAAGCAACTAATTTATTTTCTTATATGTAGCTCTGCTTTTTTTTTTTCCCCCGAGGCTTCCCATAAACCCTAAAATCTAAAGGACCTTCAGTTTGTATGAGGTTTGCAACTTGTGGTTCTACTTGCAATAAAAGTTTAAAACATGTGTAAGTAAATGCTGTTACTTTCTGAGTAAACAAGCCCTATATTTAAATAAATTAGATCTTAAAAGAATTTTTATCGGTGTAATACATGCGCATGAGTTTTGAAAATCGTGAAGCCCTGGGAAGCCTTCGTGGAACAAGCGTCCCGCCTGTGCTCTCCATGCCCGCCCAGCCCCTGGAATCCGCCCCTTCCCAGCCTTCAGTGGCTTCTTCTGGGAGCTTCTGCCATGTTCCCGTCAATATGCTTTTTTAAAATTTTTTAAATTTTTTTGACAGGCAGAGTGGACAGTGAGAGAGAGAGAGAGAGAAAGGTTCACCCTCCAATGGCCGTTGCGGCCGGTGCACCGCGCTGATCTGAAGCCAGGAGCCAGGTGCTTCTGGTCTCCCATGCAGGTGCAGGACCCAAGGACCTGGGCCATCCTCCACTGCACTCCCGGGCCACAGCAGAGAGCTGGCCTGGAAGAGGAGGAGCAACCGGGACAGAATCCGGCGCCCTAAACGGGACTAGAACCTAGTGTGCCAGCGCCGCAGGTGGAGGATTAGCCTATTGAGCCATGGTGCTGGCCCCGTCAATATGCTTTTTCTACAACTTCATTTTTAAAAAATTTTTTTTCATTTTATTTGAAAGATAAAACAGAGACCTGAGACAGAGATCTTCTATCTCAAGGTTCACTCCCCAGCTACCCACAGATGTCCAGCCTGGCTGGGCCAGGGTAAAGCCAGGAGCCAGGAACTCAATCTGGGTCTTCCACATGGGTGGCGGGGACCCAACTATTTGAGCCAGCACCTGCTGCCCCCCGGGGTGCGCCTTGGCAGGAAGCTGGAATTGGAAGCAGAGCTGGACTCAGACTTGGAACTCTGATATGGGATGCAAGGATACTAAGAAGTGTATTAACTGTCACGCCAGATGCCCACCCCTTGTTTGATTTTTTTTGTTACAGATAATAAATATATCTGACCCCCCCCCCACTTCACCCCATAGGCCATCATATCTGGTTTTCTGGGGTGACATCTCTTCTAGAGCTGATCCAGTGTAGACCAGTTGTTCTTTTTTAAAAATTCTGTCTGAAAGGTAGAGTTACAGAGAGAGAGAGATTTTTCCATCTGCTGGTTCACTTCCCAAATGGCTGCAGTGGCTGGGGCTGGACCAGCCTGAAGCCAGGAGCCAGGAGCTTCATCTGGGTCTCCCACATGGGTGCAGGGTCCAAACCACTTTAGCCGTCTTCCACTGCTTTTCCAGGTGCGTTAGCAGGGGGCTGTATCAGAAGTGGAGCAGCCGGGGCTCAGATTGGCGTCCACAGGTGTTGCTGGCGTCGCAGACGGCAGCTTAACCCGTTGTGCCACACGCTGGCCCTGCACCACTTGTTCTTAAAGCCTGCTACTTGCCATCATCCATGCTTCCCTTTGCTGCTCCTGGGTTGGCTTCCCGTGCCTGGTGCATTCCTTCACTCTGCTCCAGCACATCCTCAGGCCACTGTCAAATGCATCATGGGAAACACACGCTTGACTCGTTTCCCATCTCGAGGACTCGGATGCCGACCTCAGCCTCCTCTGCAGGCACAGAGTGGAGCAGGAGATAAATGAACCAGATGCAGCCCTTCACATGTGCGCCTGGGGGCTGGGGACACGGCTGGCCACCCTGAGGTGCTGGCCCTGCCGTTCCTTGCCAAGCTGGGCGGAACATGTTGGGGACCAGAGAACCCATGGCATGTGTGCTGGGGGCTGGCGTGGCTCAGCCACAGGACGTGCGTGAGGGGTGCTGCGGGGCTGGTGTGGGCGATTGCCAGAGAAGCCCTGAGGGTCCAGGTTGTGTTAACAAAAGAAAATGACCCTCGGCAGGAGTGAGGGGCGGGGCCGGCCTGACTCTCCAGGGCGGGGGGGTGGGGGGGTGGGGTGTCCTGGCTCTGCACTGCACCTGTCTTGCACTTGCTTCTTTTCCATGCCAGGGGCTGCCTCTCCCTGGTAGCTTTCCTTGGCCAAAATTCCTTCAGCATGTGGGTTCCTGGTTTCTGTTTTCTCAGTACTGCATTGCTGTGCAGTCTGTCTCTCTCGCCCCCAGGATGTTCAGACAAGTCCCTAAATCCTTGTCACGGTGAACCTGAAGTGGAGGCAGTAGTCCTGGCTCCGTGCTCGTCAGGGGGCCTCGTAAAGAGCAGACAAGTTACACGTTCAGCAGCAGGTGGAAGAAGGCGTTACTTCCTGTCCGTTAACAGCCAAGCAGCTGCCGTCCCCAGCATCTGTGTAGCATCCCCACCCCGATGTGTTCTGAGGTTTTCAGTAGGAAAAACTGGAGGGTAAGCCCTCCAGGTTCTTCGTAACTGAGAGCCTCCTTTCAGCTGGCTCATCCTCTGCCTCGCCTCGTTCGAGTCCTGGAGCCATCGCTGCTCACGCACTGGGGCTGTCTCAGAACCACGACCCCATCTCCAGTCTTTCTTCAGAGCTAGACCTGGGGCGGGGGCGGCGTTCCCAGCATCAGCCCATGCAGTGCCAAGGCCTCCCCGGCTTACACTCCTTTCCCAAAGCCGTTGTCTAAGGAGCCTTGTCGCTGTTTGCTGGCACTGGACGTGCAGCACAGCCACAGCGTGGGTCCTTAGCATCACGTCTTGGTTTTGATTTGCTACACCTGTGACATAGGGAGACCCTGGGGAAGCTGGAGGAGACGGCCAGTTAGGAGCCGTGGCCTGGCTGTGTGCACAGCAGGGACATGGGAGTTGTGTCGAAGCACCTGGGGCCTTCTGCCACGGAGATGTGGGAGAGCGTAGCTGTGGCCTGTGGGAGGGAGACCTGTGTGGCTGTGACCTAACTCTCTAGAGCGAGCTTGAGCGATTTGTGTTCCTTTCTGAGTGCTTGGTGTTTGGATTCTGTGCCCACAGAGGTAGGCGTTGTGAAGAGCAGACCAGGTGGTCTAGGAGGGTCTTGCAAGTGCGAGGGTCTGTGGCGGCTCTAGAACCTTCTGTCTGGGCACAAAGCAGCCTTTTAAAAGCTTTAGTTGTGCTCAGGATTTGGTACACCATGGTCACGCCGTTCCGGATGCTTCCTGCTGTCTCCCTCCACTGCTGTCCTCTCTCTTCAGCATCGTCTTCTTTTTCCTTCTCTCTCTCATACCCTGTGTGCATTTTTTTTCCCTCATTCCAGCTTTTGAATAGAAAAGACAAGACCACCTTTGAGAAACTGGACTACCTGATGTCCAAAGAAGATAACTACAAACGGACTCGGGAATACATCCGAAGCCTGAAGATGGTGCCCAGCATTCCCTATCTAGGTAGGCGTCTGGATTGGCTTTTATTATTATTATTATTATTATTATTTTAGGAAAACTGTTCAGGGCTTTAAAAATAAGATGTTTTTACAATTTCTGGCTGAATAAGTTCCAAGAAGCAGCGAGGGTCGTGGATAAGTGATCGGCTGGTTCCTTGGATTGAGACAGGCTGTGGATACTTCCCTGGGGTGTGAACTTTGGTGGGGTTGGGAAGCAAGGGGTGTTCTGCCTCCCCAGGCCCCCCAGGCTGCAGCCCAGATGGGTCACAGTGACGCTAACAAGACTGGTCCCCCCACGGTCTCCTGAGCTGGGGAGACTCAGCCCTGCGTGCTGTGTTCTGGTTCTCTGGACATCACTAGTATATTTCCCAAGATCTGTGTGGACAGAGCTGTAGTCACGACTGTTGATTTCTCTGGCTAGCGCGTTTGCTGTAAGCATTAGGAAGAGGAGAAGTTGCTGTCGTTTGCGATTGCCCCTGAAGATACTTCGCAGCGTAGAGCATGTAGCTAGGAGACAGGCCTCCGCCGTCCGAGCGCTTAATGCTGCTGTCTGCGTTTCTCTGCCGTGACTCAGTCCCATCGAGTGGATTTGTCAGACTTGAATCTGTGCTCCGCTGTTGGCCACTTACGTCATGTCTGTGGTTTTGCTATGAAAATGTTGCCATGAACATCCTCTTCTACAGGGACTTAGGGTATCACCTCCTGATAAATTCCTAGAAATAGGATAACTAGATCAAAACTTATGCAAAAATGTATGCCCTTTTATGTATATTTCCACAGTGCTCTCCAGAGAGGATGTGTTACCTTACACTTTCATCAGACATGGGTGAAATTGCTTTTTCCCCCCATATGTAAAAATACTATGTTTTCATGCATTTTTTCCTTTTTTTAATCTTGGCCAACTTGATGGGTAAAAATGTTATAGTTTAGATTTCAGGGTTATAATTTCAGGTAAAAATGCCTTTTTTAAAATCTTTTTATGATCTAAAGCAATTTTAATCAGAAGGGTAGCTAAGATTTTATAGATGTGACCTGATACTTACAAGAATCTGAAACTTTTTTTTTGGAGATTCTTTTTTTTTTTTTTAAAGATGTATGTATTTATTTGGAAGTCAAAGTTACACAGAGAGAGGAGAGGCAGAGAGAGAGAGAGAGAGAGAGAGGTCTTCCATCCGATGGTTCACTCCCCAATTGGCAGGAGCTATGCCGATCTGAATCTAGGAGCCAGGAGCTTCTTCCAGGCCTCCCACGCGGGTGCAGGGGCCCTAGGACTTGGGCCATCTTCCACTGCTTTCCCAGGCCACAGCAGAGAGCTGGATGGGAAGTAGAGCAGCCGGGTCTCAAACCAGCGCCCACATGGAATGCCGGCGCTTCAGGCCAGGGCGTTAACCTGCTGCACCACAGCGCCTGCCCCTGGAGAGACTTCTTTGACTGCTGTTAAAATCTCTTACACTGGCCTTAGATTTTCTAATTCTTTTAAAGTCAACTTGGAAAATTTGTTTTTTAGTAGAAAATTGTCCATTTGATCCAAGTTTTAAGGATATTTTCATTTATTTATTGAGAGATCAAGGGAGACAGAGATAGGCAGAGAGAGAGAGGGAGGGAGGGAGAGAGAGGGAGAGGAAGAAGGAGGGAGAGAGGGGAGGGGAGGAGAGGGGGAGGGGAGGTTGCTCCTCTACCTGCTGGTTCCCAGAAGCCTGCAATGGCTGGGCCTGGGCCGGGCTGAGGTAGGAAACCAAGAACTCAGTAGAGGTCTCCCGTGTGGGCGGCAGGGACCCAGCTGTTTGAGCCGTCACCGCTGATTCCCAAGGTCTGCATCAGCAGGAGCTGCAGCTGGGTGTTGTGGGCGTCTTAACCAGCACCTGACCGCCAGGCCCATGCCTACCCCACTGTTAGGAAGGGGTGAGCATGACCAACCACTCTCCTCATTCAGCTTTTCAAATCAGACTGTGTTGTATAGTATTCTCTTACAGACTTGAACCTCTCTCTCTATGTATATGGTTATATTCTTAAAGTTTGTTTCTCTCTCTCTCTCTTTTTAAAATTGCCTTGCCAGAGGTTTGTCTATTGGTCTTCCCCAAGACTTAGATTTGGGACTTACAGTCACACAGTCTTTCTGCTTTTTGATTTACTGAGTTTCGTTAACCTGGGGTGTGTGCTCTGTGTCTCTTTTAGCACCTGTGAAATTGGGGTGTATTTTTCCAATGATGTAAAGTGTTGTGACATTGTTTAATTGGCAGCAATTTTTCTTAGTGACACATTAAAAAATGGCACATTTTATAGTAGATGACATCTTAAATGTGATGAAATCTGGAATTCTCACTTTTGTCTTTTATAATTGATCTCTCCGGCTTCCCTTGCATTGTGTATCTAAGCCATGCGAGTGTAATTATTGGTTCATTTTCGTATGTGCCAATCTTCTGACTTCAAGGCTACGGAATTTCCTCCAGCTGCCCCCTCTGTTGCGTCCTACATGTTTCGATGCACAGTGTTCACGGTGATGCTCTTTAAGTCTCATAATTATAGTTTTACTTTTTCTTTTAACCAGGTGTTATTTAAGGTAGCAGTTCTGTGATTTTCAGGGGCTTACGATGTTCTTTTTTCAAACTGCCTTATGAGATACAATTAATATACAATCTGCTTGAAGTTTATGATTTAGTGAGTAGAGATGTATAACCATCTCCACAATTCTCATCACCCCCAGCCACACCCACACCCATTAGTGGTCGTTCCATTTCCCTGTAGCGAAGCCCCCCCAGTGTCCTGCCCTCAGCCCCAGGCAACCACTAATCTACTCTGTGCCTCCATAGGTTGGCATATTCTAGAACTTTCACGTAAATGGGGTCGTGTACTGTGTTGTCTTTCTCCTGGCATCATGTGTTCAGTGTTCACCTGTGTTGGATGGTGAACACGACGTCGTTCCTGCTTGTTGCCAAATATCCCATCGTGTAGACACACTGCATTTTGTTTATTCATTCATCTGCTGGGCATTTGTTTCCCTTTTTTTGGCTCTGATACACAACACTGCCATGAATGGCTTGGGTTCTAAAAAAATACTCATTTTAAATTTTTTCTAAACTGGTTCAGAGGTTCAGAGCGTGACGTATATACTCTCTTAGTTTCTGAAAATGTTTGAGATTGTCTTGTGGTGTAATACAAGATCAGTTTTTGTAAATGTTTCATGGGTGCTGAAGAAAAGGTATTACTTCTTCAAATTACTCTTATAATTGCATGTAGTGTTCAAATTGTTATTTGGTGGGGACTTGCTCTCATCAAGGAGAAAAATACATGTTAGATTCTTCTTGCATTTCCGATGGTTTCTGCCTGAACGTGTTCAGCATTTAGACATTCGTAGCAGTTGTGGGTTCACTATGAAGTGTCATGCAAAAAAATTTGTTTTTTAAATTTCTGCATCTATATTATTTTCTTAAAAAAAGACCTACTTATTTAATTGAAAGGCAGAGTTATGGAGACAGAGGGCAAGGCAGAGGCAGAGGGGGAGAGAGAGAGAGAGAGAGAGAGAGAGAGAGAGAGAGATAGAGATATCTTCCATCCACTAGTTCACTCCCCAAGTGGCCCCAACAGTGGGAGCTAGACCAGGAGCCTGGAACTCTGTCCATGACTCCCATGTGGGTGACAGGGACAGGACGTGGACCACCTTCTGCTGCTTTCCCAGGCACATTAGCAGGGAGCTGGATCAGAACAGCATCTGGGACTCACATGAGATGTCGGGATGCAGGCAGTGGCTTAACCTGCTGTGCCACAGCACCAGCCCTGTTCCAGGCAAGACTGTATTAGTTCCATTTGTTGTTTGCTTTTCCTCTTTTGGTATGTTGTTAATTGTGTGATACCTATTTTATTTTTCACTTGCGCTTTTAAAATAAATCTTTGACAGTATTTTATTCATTATTTGTTTATTTTTATTTTATTTGCAAGGCAAAGAGACACACAGAAACAGAGAGAGAGATCTTCCATCCAGGAGTTCACTTACAAATGCCCACAAAATCCAGAGCTGGGCCAGACCAAAGCCGGCGGCCCAAGAGTCAGTATGAGCGCCCCGTGTAGGTGCTTGAGCCCCAACCTATCTGCTGCCTCCCAGGGTGCACGTTAGCAGGAAGCTGGATCAGAAGCAGAGGAGCTAGGACTCAAACCCAGGCACTCGGATGTGGCATGCGGGCATCCTAAGCAACTGCTGTGCCAGACTGACTGTGTTTTAGACTTTAATATTTTAAGTTGCTTTGTTGTAGGCGAGATCCTTGCGAAGATCCTTTAGTTGGACCCAGTGGGAGAGACCTTGCCTTTAGTAGGGGTGCGTGACTCTGGCGTTTGTTCCGTCTCTCAGATTGGTTGCCATCCCACACTTCCTTTCTTTATGCTTTTCCTTGTTCCCTTCCCCAGCTTGCCATAAGCTGAAGCGACTTTCTACCTGGCGCCTGGCACATCCCCGTCTCAGGTCCCCCGAGGGCATCGTGGGCACTCGGGTGAGGGCCGCCTCCTGCAGTCCCCCAGCAGAGGGGCCCCGGTGGGCTCACCCCAGGTGTGCTCAGGATGGCCTCCCTTCTCTGAGCACAGGGATCACGGCAGGTGCAGGGCACTGGCTGCTTGACTGTGTTGTCTCACTGAATAGCCGGCACTGAGAGGTTCCCCAGGGTCACGGGGCTGGACGGTGGCAGAGCCAGGCCTGGGCCCAGATGGTCTGGCTGTCAGCCCTCTGCTGACTTACCGCCTCTGCTGTCCAGGTCATTCGGTTCCCACCCCTCCTCGCTGTCCGCCACCTGCGTGTCCTCTGCTGTTTGGGACTTTTGGGTGGCCTCCATCAGGCCTTAGGAATTGCATGAGTGGCCACCACTCTTTCTTGTGATGTTCTCCGTTACACACTGCCTGGGGCTTCCAGGGGCCCCTGCCTTGTCCTTGACAACCTCCTCTCTCCGGCCTCTTACTGGCAGTGCTCCCCTGCTTCTGGCTCTGAGCAAGCCCAGGTAACTGCCATCCCCCTGTCCCTTC